TTTGGTTGTTTGCCTGACTTCTTAAAGACTTATTCTTACTTATTGTGTATGAGTGCTTGCATGTATGTGTATGTCTTTTCTCACTTTAAATTAAAGGTTTTGAGAAGTTTATATAATGTATTTTAACCATACTCATCTCCGACTCCTCCAAGTTCCATACCCTTTTACTTACCATGTGTGTACTCTCTTTCCTTTTTCTCAAGCCATTAAACACAATTTTTGTAGCCCATATACTCCTAGGTGTGTGGTCATGCACTACATTCTTAGGAGTGTGGTTGGCCTCGGGATGGGGTTTCACCCTTAAAGACAACTGACTCTTGTCTTCCTAGCTGTCAATTGCTAGTAGCTCCGGGTGGGACTCAGTGCACACCTCATCTATCTGTGCTGGGATTTGGTTTGGTTTGGTATGGTTTGGATTTGTGCAGGTCTTACATATGCTGCCACAACCATTATGAGTTCATATGTGTAACTGGCCCACTGTCCAGAAAACATTGCAGTCACACAACTGCTTCTGGCTCTTACAGGTTTTCTGCCTCCTCTTGTGCAATGATCCCTGAGCCCTTGGGAGGAGGTGATGTGATACAGATGCCCCATTTAAAACTGAGCAGTAAACCGGGCGGTGGTGGCACATGCCTTTAATCCCAGCACTCGGGAGGCAGAAGCAGGCAGATCTCTGTGAGTTCAAGGCCGGGCTGGACCGATAGCCTCCAAAACAATACAGAGAAACCCTGTCTCGTAAAAACCAAAATAAAATAAAATAAAATAAAAATAAAACTGAGCAGTACAAAGTTTCCTATTCTCCATCTCTTGACTAGTTATGGGTCTCTGTGTTAGTCTACATCGATTGAAAACAGACAAGCTCTGATGAGGCTTGAAAGATGCAAACATCTATGGGTATAAGGATAAGTCATTAGCAGTCAGTTTAATGCTATGCTCCCTTAGAAGAATAATAATAGTAGGTTCTCCCCTGGGGCCTGTGACCTGTCTAGCCACAGGTTCCTGGCCCTGATCATGGTGCCAGGTATGGGTTTCAACTTGTAGAGTGGGCCTTAAATTCAACTAGAAAGAGGTTATTTCTATTCATTCCAAATGGTTGAGAACCATTTGAAAAATGCTCAACACCCATAGCTGTTAGGGAAATGCAAATTAAAACTGCTTTGAGATATTTCATCTTACTCTAGCCAGAATAGTAAATATTTTTAAGGCAAAAATGCTGGCATTTGTGTGTGTGTGCCATGGTGGTGGTGGGTGACACTTGTTCACTGCTGATGAAGGTGCAAACTGGTACAGCTTACTATGGAAATCAGTGTGAGAGTTCCTCAAAGAGCTAGAAATAAATACAACAGTTACACTACTCAGGAGTATACACAAAGGAGTTTATATAGAGATAACTGCTCATTTGTGCACATTGCTGCTCTATTTATGTTATCTAGGAAATGGAACAGCCCAGGTACCCATCACCTGCCCCTGATTTGTAAACCACAACCTAGTGATGAACAGGGAAGATGTTCTGATCTTGTTTTCCTGTTAGATTCCAAGCTCTGAAAAGAAAACCATCTAACCCTGCATTGAGACAGCAAAGAGAAACATCTTAGTGATATGTAATTTGGAGCTGAGTATGGTGACACACACATGTAATACTAGCACTCCAGAGGTAGAGGCAAGAAAAATCAGAAGTTCAAGGTCACTCTGAACTATATAGTGAATTTACAGCTGACCCTGTAATAATTGAGATGTATGAAGATGTTAGAAATCTCACTTTGGGGTTGGTCTTAAGACCCTTGCTCCTACCATTTCAAATTTATGAGAAATATGCTATTATTTTGGTGGAGCTCTCATGTTCTTGTTTTCTTCTCCACTTCTAAATTTGTTGATGATAAGAGGGTGGCAAATTAATGAGGTAAACCTAGTGGCAACCCTCTGAATTCAGTGCTTTGAGAGATGTTTACAGAGGATGGCTATCCAGTTAATGATTTCACAATGTCTGTGTCCAGCATTGGATTGTGAGGAATTGAGACATAAGTTGGCAGGCCAAAGGAGATCAATGAACACAGGTATGAGGGGAGACACCGGGTAGTCTGGCATGGCTTATGGATCACTGTGGACATACTCTTTGACTGTGGGGTGCTTGAGAGGTTCCACGTCAGTGAACAGAGAATGTATTTTTGGGTTGATTATTCAACTGACCTCTCATTTAGTAAAACTTGTCGGTGATATAATAACAGCTGGTTGTCATCTTTTGTCTCCTGTCCCATGGTACTCTGTTGGGGTTCATATAAGCACACATCACTGGCATTTAGGAAAGCAAAAAGAGAAAGCAGTGGTGCATATGTTTAAAGGTGAATTACTCTAGTCCAGTAGTTGTGTTAGACTGTCACAAGCACTATACCTACCATGCTAGTGAACCAAAGACTGGTTTTAAAAAGTGCCTTGTGACTCAGTCCAGGATCCTAAATATGTCTGGGCATAGCTGTGTCTTAGCAAAGTAAGACTGAGCCAGGGCATTAAGAGACTAACTGGGACCATGTTCATGGGAATGAAATATTAGGAGGAGGAGGAGGAGGACACACACACACACACACACAAACACACACACACACTTGCTTAGAGTGGATTAGTTGTAGAGGTATCCATGCTGGGAGGATTTGTCGTGTGCGGATCCTGTGACTCTTAAAAGATGACATCTTGAGCTTTCCTAGAGGCTCACATAATTAGAGCTCTGGAAGACCCCTTTCAGGCCAGTCAGTAGCTCTAGCTACATGAACATCTATTCTCCAAAAGGGCAGAATTTGAAATGACACAGTTTCTGTGGGAGTCTTTTTTTTCTAATTCTTTGGACTAGGCAATGCTTCTCATTAAAATAGGGTCTTCAAAACATCATTTTGGTACTTGGGGCTGCCTTTTCTATCATGCTATTTCTTTAAAATTTACTCTCATGTAACTTTGTGATAAAATCCAGGAAGCATCATCTCATTAGGCTTTTTTATTATTATGCTAGCTGTCAGAATGATGTAATGGTTATGCTGGAGAATATATCTTTACATAAGTGTTCTAGAAACTGAGGCATGAAAAGTTACAATGACTCCCAGTGTTCCAGGCTTGCAAAATTTTATTTTTAATGTGAAATAGATCTGTGATTACTTCACAGCTTGCCAAGTAAAACTATCACTTCCATGGAGATCATCTTGTTGACTCTTGGCTTTTCCAAATGCATTTAGGATTAAATATAAAACTCTTAAAATACCCACAAGACCCTGCATGATCTGGCCCGAGCCCAGATCTTCAGTCTCCTATGTCTTCTTGGGTCAGGCAACTTCAGGCTTTTCAGATCATCAACACATCAGACATTCATCTTCTCAGTATCTGTGCCCACAACATGACATCCAGTTTTGGCCAGCACCACTCTTTTCCATCCATTCTTTCTGTGAGTGGATCTTGCATACACTGCCTATCACATTTTGCTTGGTTGTGCCACAGTGACAAGCCAATCTCAACTGCAATGGCTGGCGGTAGTAATGGTCAGCTTCCCAATCTTGAGTTGAATCTCACAGAAGCCTCATAAAGACCCCAAGGAATGTTTTCCCTCCCCACCCTTTCCCCTACATCTTTGAGACAACATAATGTCATCCCAACATCTTATCTCTCTTAGGCTTTCCAACTTAGCTTATATTTAACCTAAGCCCCTTTAGCACTAGCGGTGCTGTGACCCAATCCTAGTGATGAACTTGGGCCCCACTCTGAATCTTCTCCTTCTCCTCAGTGTACACCTACTGTGGTTGTCTTCCACTCATTCTCTGAAGGAAACCCACTCTGTTTACAAACTATATCTCAATTCATGGAGACCTTACAAGTCTATAGCCTGTGTGTTCTTGTAAATTTCACCCTTTTCTATCTAAGTCTTTTTAAAGTGTCAACTGTCCTTACCATGAGTGGTGGCTTCCTAGCAGTCCAAAGACATCATGTCTAAAGGCATTATGCCACAGCATTTCATCATAGAGTGCTATACTGAACTCGGTGAAGAGTGTGCGCAAGTGCTGGATATGAGTGTGTGCCAGTGCTGGATATGTGGTTCAGTGCAATCTACCCCTCAGAGCAAAACCAGCAGCCATCTTCAGCAGATCAGTTGTGTCTGTTCACAAGAATCATCATGGCAGGTCTGCGGACTATTAACATTCCCCTGGAGAAGTTGGGAGTAGGGAGGGCCTTTGAATCTTCACCTGCTATTCCAGTCACTCTTTCCAGTGCTTTGTATGTAGTGTTATACAAATTGCACATGGTCTTGCTGTCTTTGGTAGATTCTAGAGTACATAGGTTGGGAAAACTGAAATGGGTTTCTATCTAAGCAGCCATGGGGGATCCATCATCCATGTTGGGTACAAAACTTTGGGGCCAGCCATGCTCCTACCCATAACTCCTCTGTAAGTAAGTTGTGAACTGTTGTGGAATCAAACTTTGTTTTTTTGTTGGGACTTTATGAAGAGACAGCACATATCGTTTACATCTCCCCCTGACTCCCTCCATAGGGGGAGATTTTGGCAAATAAGAGTTGATTGATGTAACCGCAAGAGGGTACATAGTGTAGGTAACAGGCATGGAAACCAGGACACCAACTGTGGTGACTGGAGTGAGAATGACTCCCATAGGTTCACATGCTTAGTGCTTAGGGAGTGACACTGCATGAAAGGATTAGGAGTTATGGCCTTGTTGGAGGAAGTGTATCACTTGGGGTAGCCTTTGAGGTTTCAAAAAACCTAGACTAGTCCCAGTGGCTCTTTCTCCCTGCTGCCTGTGGATTCAGATGTAAATTCTCGGCTACCATGTCTGCCAGTGTGCCACCATGCTTCCCACCATGATGATAGTGAATTAAACCTGGGAGACTGTAAGCAAGCACCACTTAAATGTGTCTCTTCACATCAATGGAACACTGACTAAGACTCCAACACTGCCTGAGTCCTTGATGAAATTTCTGATGAAATTTTTGGCTTTCTTTATCTTGTCAGGTGATCGTCTTTCTGAAGCCTTCCCAGAAGTCATTCAGCCCATCACTATTCACCAGGTGCCTGGGATGTGCAAGACTCTTTTCTGGGTGTAAGAAACGAAACACAGGCATTCCACAGTCACAAAGTCTTCCAGCTTAGACAGTGGAGGAGTGATTTAAAGTCTCAAAATTGAGTCTTGGGTTTTTAAAGTTAATGCTTATGATGGCAAAACTATCATGCTTGTGTGCAAACTTTAGTCTTTTATTCAGTTTTGGTGAGTACTAGTATGCTTGTAGCTGTAGCCACTGAAATGAGAAAGGAAGGCAAGCTAGCCAACTCCAGCTAGCAAAGATGAAGATATTCCAAGTTGAGGGGCAGCCAGGAGAGGGTCCTAATGTGTACCTAAGGATGTGGAGATGTGATTGGAAGAGATTGGCCAGGTGCCTGATGGCATAGTCAGAGTCAGACTGTAGAATCATAGAACCATAAAAAAGTTATTTTGTCTTATTCTCTTTAGAGACAGGGTCCCATGCAGCCCATACTGGCCTTGAATGCTCTACATAGCCAAGGGTGATCTGGAATAATTGAATATCCTGCCTCCACTTCCTAATAGCTGGGTTACAGGTGTTCATTGCCATACCCAGTTTACTGTAGTTCTGGGGATCAAACCTAGGACTTTGCACATATGAGGCAAGAATGTTATCAACTGAGCTACATTCTCAGCTCACATATAATGGTTAGTTTCCGTTTTCAGTTTGACACAACCTAGAACCACCTAGGAAGAGAATCTCAGTGAGAGACTGTCTACATTGGGTTAGCCTGTGGCCATGTCTTACTTAGTTAAAGTAGAAATACCTACTCTACTCTGCATGCACCACTTCCTAGGCAGGTTTCTTATGCTATATAAATGGGAAAACTGAGCTGATCACAAGCAAGTAACCAAGCATGCATTCATTTCTCTCTGTTCTTGACTGTAGACGTGCTGTGACTAGTTCTTCGAAGTTTCCACCTTGAAATCCCCACAATGATGGACTGCAAGGTGGACTTACAAGTCAAAACAAATCCTTTCTCCTCCAAGTTGCTTTTAACCAGAATGTTTTTTATCAAGGCAACAGAAATGAAGACAGAGCACCACAAATCAACTTTTTGTTAGGTTTTAATGGCCGTGCTTAGCCTTCACAAATCCAGATGTTGGAGTTCAATAGCGCATTGAATCATCTGAAGCATCTTTGAGGACCCACTGTTACCTTTGTGCCTGACTTAAGTGTTCCAACCTTTCATTTTCGAACACAGTCTCTCTTATCTCATTGGACCCCATTTCCTGTCATTTTGTCCAGCAATTAGACAGTGCACCCAGACAATACACTGTTCCTCAAATGACTCTCTCACACTCATTGTAAACTGTCCAGGGTCAGCATGGGGTTTATGGCACAACAGTACTACTAGCTAAGTCAGCGAGGCTGCCCCAGACAAAAGAGCCCTGGCTAGCTCACTGACCCTTTGACTCTTTCATCGACACTGGCACACTCAGGTTGCCAGTTAAAGCCCCTGTAATAACAGCCAACTGCTCACAAGCATCTGGGCTCTTAATGAAACTACATCTCTTTCTTCCCTAGAGGGAAGGAAGAATTGTTGGTTTTCTCTTTCAATTATTTTTCCAGTCTATTAAATTGTCACAGCCCTTGTGTCTCTGTAAGAGGTGGGTGTCATCGTAGCTCATCTCCCGGAGCCTGGGAACAGTGGTGCCATAGGGAGTTGCTTTGTGAGTCTGTTTTCCCATCACCAAAAAGAAGCAGATACAGATGGAGACATTCACATGCTGTGGGTGTCCGGGAGAGATTGATGGGACACGCAACAAGCGGGAAGAGGATGTTTATGCCATTGGGTTATATTAAATATGCAATTTTAATCCAGTAAGCTGTTTATCTTTTCGTGCAGCTTGGTCCCCAAGATAATTACCTTGCTGAGCAGTCCGTGTCATGTTCGAGGCAATGTGTGTGCAAGGATACGCACAAAAATCGGTGTGCGACTGGAAAACATAGGAGAGAACACAGGATTAACCCAAATTTTAGAAAAATGTATGGTGGGCAGTGAAGGCAGTAAGCAGATGGACTTTTCTTCTCTCTTACTAGGGAGCTTGGAAAGGTCTGTTTTCCTTAGAGTGACCAACAGTGATTAACTATACCTTTATTGTGTGTCAGGTGCTATATGAGTCACTGTTTGTTGTAATCAAATGCCCCAAACCAGTGACCTGTGGGATGGAGGTTTTATTTTCATTCACTGAGTATGTGATGGTTACATTTACTGTCAACTCCACAGGACCGAGAACAGCCTGGAAAACAAGCTTCTAGGTGTGCTTGTGAGGGAGTTTCTATATTGCATTCATTGAGGTGGGAAAACCCACCCTACATGCGGGCAGTGCCATCCAATGGACTGAAGAGAAAGAAAATTGAACACTCTCATTGTTTTCTGCTTCCTGACCCTGAAGGATGCTATGTGACCAGGTGCCTTCTACTGCTGTTGCTTTGACTTCACATTTTCATGGCTTGGGTAGTGTCAATTTATAAGGATCACCTAGGAACATATCTCTGGGTACTTCTGGGAGGAAGTTTCCATACAAAGTTGCAAGACCCACCCTAAATATGGGCTGCACCATTCCATGGGCTGAGGTCCTTAGATGGATTACAAATGAGAAAGGGAATCAAGGGTTTGAACTCTTCTCTCTGCTTCCTGACTGTGGATGTGATATGACCAGCTACCTCAAGCTCCTGCCTCCATGACATCCCACCAATGCATCTATCAGGCTGACCTAGCGTCTTCTCCCCTTCCCAGTCAGTCTGACCTGTGTGTAAGTATCTATGTTTTAGCAGATGGCAACCCCATCCCTCTATTTGGCTGAAGTACACCATAAAGTCATTGTGTGTATGTGTGTGTGTGTGTGTGTGTGTGTGTGCACGCGTGTGTGTTGCATGTGTGCACATCTTGGTAGGTGTGTGTATATCTTTCTTCATATGTATTTGTGTGTACAAAGTTGTAAACATGTGTGTATACATATTTGCTTGCATATGTGCGTTGTCATGCATATGCTTGTGTACACATCTTTATATGTGAGAGTGAGTGTATGTTGTGTGCATATCTTTGCATGTGTGTGGGGATGTATGTTTGTATATATGTTTGTCATCATCAGTCAATTTCAGGTGTCTCTATTATCCTCCAGGTAGAGACAGATTCTCTTACTGAACCTGGGGTTCAGTCCAGCTGTTCTGTCTAGGCTTGCTGGCCATCAAGCTTCAGGGATCCACCGGTCTCTGCCTTACCATCACTTACTGTGCTGACAGGAAAGCTTACCTTGCTTGGTTTGTTGTAGTTGCCTGTCTGCTTCTATTTCTGCCTCCTCCATTGTGGTCTCAGTACCTAGCCAGAGGTATGCACCAGATTTGCCCACCCGCTGGTATCACTGTCTCAGCTTAAAACTTTTATCTGGTTGCCCATCTCACTAAGAAGGCATAAAGTCCTTATGAAGGTCTATAGAACCATAACTAACATCACATGCTCCTCCAAATCTTTAACCTTATTTCTAACTGGCTCTGGCTTCAACCCAGCAGCCTCTTTGCTGGGTCTCTTGGCTATTGTCCCGGGTTGGAACAGTCTCTGTCTTTCAGATGTTTCCACTTCCTCCTTTAGAGTTTCCTCATGTGGCTCCTGTGCCATGGTTTGTGTAAAGGTGGGCCACCCCTGACATTCCCAGTGCTGCTCTTTCCATGGGCTACCTTCCTTGTTCCATTGATTGTCCTTTAACAGACTTCACAACTTAATTGTGTGTTGTGTTTCAGATGTTCACCCCCTACTGGAATTACAAATGCTTTGAAAGTGATTCTGTTTGTTTCTTCACCTTTGTGTGGTATAGCAACAAGCAGCTGAATGAATAAATAAATCTCAATAATCGTTGCCCAGAGCAGTAGTTCTCAACCTGTGGGTCACGACCTCTTTGGGGATTGGATGACTCTTTCACAGGGGTCACATATCAGATATTCTTCATATCAGATATTTACATTAAGATTCACAACAGTGGCAAGATTACAGTTATGAAGTAGCAATGAAAATAATGTTATGACTAGGGGTCACTATGACATGAGGAACTGAATTAAAGTTTTGCAGCATTAGGAAGGTTGAGAACCACTAACCTAGGGAGTAATGAGAGTGATGGTGCAGCCTCAGGCTTGTTATCTAGGCCAGCCCGTTGCTGTGCTGTGTAAGGACTGGAGCTTTGGTTATTGACACCGCAACTATAACATGCATGGTCACTTATGGATGTAATGCCATTTTGAGGCAAGAGCGTATTGCTTAGATTCATCCGTCATTCTAATAGCCTTTAAACTCCTGCCAGAAAGCATACTAAATGCTAATATCTTAAATGTTTAATATTCTTAAGCGTGTTTTCATCAATTACAAAAATTATCTGGGCATTCAAATTTTAAAATAAATGCCTCTAAGATTTAGGGGAAAGGGAGTACATTGCTGAGAACAGATGCCTTGGATAGAGAGTGTCTGTGGAATTTACTGGTCCTTTCAATACATTTCCAAAGCTTTCATGCCTCAGTTTTCTTTCTTTATCATTTATGAGCAGCAGCAATATAGTGACCTGACTAAGAGGGTCAATGAAAGGTTTGATAAACGGCTATATGTGGAGAACTCAGATCAAAGCCTATCATGGAGTGAAGACTGAATAATCAAAATATCAAAATAACAATGCTTGCACATGGGTACATGTGCATGTAGAGGCCAGACACTGAGCTCTGGTACTGTCTCTCAGGTACACTACATCATATTATTCCAGACAGGGTTTCCCACTGACCTGGAGCTTACCAAGACAGCTATGGCACTGAATGTCAGGGAGCCCCCTGTCCCTGTCTTCCCAGCTCCAGGTTTACAAGCACTTGCAACATTCTGTGATTTTTTTTCTTTTCTTTTTTTCTGCACAAGGTATGGGAATTGAACTCGATTCTCAAGCTTGCAAAGCTTGTACTTTGCTGCCTGAGCCATCTCCATTGTCAATATTTCTTGTTTTGTTTTTAACAAGACAGTTCAAAGAGACATTATATAGCTATGGAAGCCCTTATGTTTTGAAATAAAGCAGCATAACTGTCTAGTTAGCCCTGTGCAATGCATCTGCTATAAAGGAGACAGTGTCTACATAAAAAAATACCCATACATATGATGATTTACACCAGTAATAATTGCCAACCATGTATCAAATGTCAGGTGCTATTCTAAAGCATTTTGTATATATTTGAAAATTTGACAAAGGGGCTGGGGAGATGGCCCAGTGGGGAAAGGGCTTGGTGCACAAGCATGAGATCCGGAGTTTAGAGTTCCTGCACCCATATAAAATGTATGTGATAGAGTATGCCTATAACCTCAGGACCTGGGGAGTGGAGCAGAGACAGGAGGATCCTGAGAACTTGATGGCCAGCCTCTGTCAGCTAGTGATGAGCTCCAGATTCAGGGAGAGATCCAGTCACAGAAAATAGGATGAAAAACAACTGAGGAAGGTATCTGACAAAAGCTTCTGGCTTCTACAGACAAACATATGAGCACATGCATATCTCTCTCTCTCTCTCTCTCTCTCTCTCTCACTCTCTCTCTCTCTCTCTCTCTCTCTCACACACACACACACACACGATTTGGAAACAGGAAAAAGACATTAATTTGGCCAATATCACAAAGCTACTGAGGGCTGCAGGAGGATGCCCACCTGTGGACGAATGCTTTTCATGGAGAGCCCTACAGCATGGAGGTACAATGACCTTGTTTTACCAAGAACACACTTGACTGAATGCAGACAGGGCAGGTCACAAATGAAATGCACCATCCACAGACATTCAGAGACACACTCTGAACTCAAGGCCAAGGGTGGTTACCACATTGGCATTTTCTTTTGTAAAATGGTCTTCATAATTTTCCCCCTAGTGTAGCACTGACTTTAGAAAATTATTTAATTGTTGGAGTGGTTACAAGGTGAAGGCTGAGATTATACCACTCTTTCTTTGACAAGCATTTTAACCAGGGGCAGCAAGTGTTGGGGTTGCTGTTGGGAGGTTGAGAATGAAGCTTGATAGAATTGCATTTATGATATAAAGCCCTTGCCAAAGGATAATTACAGGTGTTTAATTAATAGTTGTGTTGATTGCTGTGGAACTTCCAAGGCAGATCAAATCCATTTGTGAAATGTCTTCGTGATGCGGTTGTACACAAGATGCGGTTGTACACTTACAACAAGCAGCGCAGGTTGAGATTTGCTAGATCACATGGTAAAGTGAATGTAGGGACAAAATCACACAGTGAGGGCTGCCCTCTGCTCTCCAGAAGTGTGACTCAAGGCCAGCAGAAAATTAACTGATAGAGGTACTAGCTGTAAGGCTATTTCAGAGAAAGACAGCACTACTGGCTGTGCAATGTTGAAGAACTTTGGGACTTATACCAAACCATGTCCCAGCAATAGGTGTTGAGACCAGAGGCCAGGATAGGTGACTCCATCATCACTGGGCAGATTGTACACACACAGATGCCTCAGCTGGCCTTTGTGTTCATCAGTAGAGATGCCTGAGCTCTGGATCTGTTTATGGCCTTAGGAAACCATCATTCTCACCCTTGTCCCTGCATTGCTTACGAGAATTTCACACTAGGATTCTATGACAACCCATCCCTTTCTAGACACTAATACCTACATGAACTTGAATCTCACTAATGCTAAATCAATTCTTTCTTCCCAGTCCACATAATCCTGAACCAAACTCATTGCATTCCCTTAATAGAATCCTGGGTTCTACCCTGGAAACAGTAAGTCCTGGGAGCTGTCTCATAGCATATCTACTTCCCTAGTCTTCTCTTTTTAGGAGTGTCTTCTTTATGA